CCACCTTGGCCACGCTAATGCAAGAGTAATTAGCGCACAGCCAGCCTATTCACTTCAATATCATTATCAATTTGCTTAGCTAACATAGCTTTGTATGAATACAAGTGTTCGTACGAACAAGAACTCGACACTCGCGCTATAAGTGGTGTGAATAACAAGGGTCCGGTGAGATGAATTGTGTATAGCCATACATATAAACATGGGCGAGGGTATGCAGGGTCCATGTATCCTTGCAGAACAATAAATGCCTGTCTCGACAACCAATAGTTGAATGTATGACATTTATCTATTGTTAAGCAAGGTACTTACGGCTCACAAATACTTTCAGTCTTCCTCAAAGCTAATTGCATGTATCGCCATTACCTGCCCTAAAGCGACCGCTGGTGTAATACTGACTGTGTAGCTCCAAGCATTGGTCCCTGACTAGGGCTACTAACAAAAGTTACTTGTAAGTACCTACACAGGTACGCATCCATCTGCTTATCCCAGTTTAGAGATGAAAAAAAAAAAATACACATGATTGTTTCATCTGAAAGTCGTATCGTAAGCTGTGTGAGCCAGAGGATCTCGGCATGCCTTGTTCATATGGTCATTGAGCAGCTTAAGTGAGCCCCATTTTGCGGATACGATGATACTGGGTCTTTTTTTAACGTTTTCTCAGCCAAGTTTGATCAGATTTTCAAGATTTTAAATCGAAAATTTCATATATGAGGTTTTATCCATCTTGATTGTAGACGTGCCTAAATAGGTTGCCGGGACTTGGTAGGCTGGCTATTAATGACTTCTATTGTTGCGCGAGGGTCCCTCCAGCCTTCTTGCGGGTCGAAGCTGGTGCTATATCCACGCTTGTAGGTGCCTCGTAGCCTCGTGACATAGGTATATGTAATTTGAAGTGAAAAATGAAAAGATCCATACATTTTCCGTTCATGCAAGGGCGGACCGGCTCATGTTGATGTGCATTTATTTCAAGCCTTCAAGGTCAATTCCTGAAAATGCAGCTATCGGGGTGCTCGAATCGATGCGATTTGCCGCTATTTCTTGGCTCCCGAGGTCGTTTCGAATTCAGGTCATGATTGGGCTAGGTACATCACGTTCTAGACAACGCTTGGCTTTGTTTTTCTCACCAAAAGGATGGATTCAGACGTCCAACCAGGATTGGAACAGACGCCTACAAGACATACATAGTAAAATGGACCGGCCTGACTGCCATCCGCGTGGATTGAGGGCAGACATGAAGGTAGTACCTAGAGTAGAGGAGTAAACGAGGGGGGCCATTCTAGGGCTAGCTAGGTGGTTAGGTACCTACCTAGCGAGCCTAGTCCTCTGTAGTTGGGTGCTGGTCGCACTATCTCGAAGGGCTATAGGGCACTTGGCATCCGCTAACTGCGCTATGGACCCCCGCCTATTCTTGCCCAGAGAAGCCAGGCACGATGCTGGCGCACCGACGTCACAGTCTCTCTCGCATCGTCTCACATTGTCGTCTCACCTTTTCTCGGGTTTGTTTGCTTGGCCCTGTGCCTACAGATAGTCGTGAGCGGATTGTTCTTCTTTGGGTTTTCATTCACAACTCCTTCTATACTCTCTTTAATATCACTGTTAGGAGGGAAAGCGATCGAATACAAGGGCTCCTCTTGTGGGCAACCCCTCAAAGCCCAAAACACGCTACTCAGCATAAGGCTATTCAACATGGAGACTTCACCCCTCCCGCCCGACGACACCCTCCGCGAAGCTGGCGATGCTCAGCCCGCGCCCCAAGAGGCTGTTATACAAGAAATAAATACCCCGGTGATGCCATATCTCGAGAGGATCTTCAACGTACATGCAAACCCCGAGAAAAGGTGGATCAAAGACCAGATCACCAGCTTCATCCACCACCGTCAAGCTGACAAAGTCGCCGACTCCTCTAGCGATATTGCTGCCCAGGACGAGCTTGACTTTGCTGGCTTTCTACGACACATGACGTCTGCAGCAGCAAACGCCTTAGCACCGCCTCCAGAGTCTGACCTTTCTTGGCCGCTGTCGAGTTACTTCATAAGCTCCAGCCACAACACTTACCTCACTGGAAACCAGCTGAACAGTGACTCGGATGCTGACGCTTACAAGAATGTGCTGCTACGTGGTTGTCGGTGCGTCGAAATCGATGTATGGAATGGTGACGACTCAGATTCCGAGTCGGACTCCTCCGACAGTGACAGCGACAGCGACAGCGATGACGCAAAGGCAGCGAAGGGTACCAAGGGGCCGAGTCGAACGCAGAGAATCGCGTCTAAGCTTCCCAGGTCGCTTACTGGTCGGCTAGAGAAGACATCCATCGGCAGCAAATTGAACGTGAAGAAAGATGAAAAAGCAACCGAACCTGCCTCTCAAGTAGACCAGGAGGGCGCACCTAGTGACTCGGCGTCTTTACAGAAAATACCGAGCCCCAAGGCGGTAGCTGTGGAACCAAGGGTTCTGCATGGATATACCCTCACCAAAGAGGTCTCCTTTCGAGACGTTTGCGAGGCAATCCGAGACTATGCTTTTGTGGTCTCAGATCTTCCGGTGATTGTCAGCTTGGAGGTACACTGTAGCAGTGAGCAACAGGAAATAATGGTTCAGATCATGAATGAGACCTGGGCGGGGTATCTTTTGCCCAAGCCAGATGAAGAGGCCAAACATCTTCCGGCACCCGCTGACTTGCGGCGCAAGATCTTAGTCAAAGTCAAATATGCGCCACCTGGCACATCAGCCGCGAACGAAGAGGAAGCCGACGATCGCTTGCCCCCAGAAGCTCAAGCCGACCCCAAGTCGAAAGCCGCAGCGCCCAAGAAGCCGTCCAAAATCATACAAGCACTGTCTGCGCTTGGCATATACACACGAGGCGTGTCTTTCAAATCGCTGACACAACCAGAAGCATCGATGCCAACCCACATCTTTTCAATATCAGAAGGCGGTGTAGAAGAGGTGCACGATAAAAATGCCCATCTCCTATTCGAACACAACAAGCGATACATGATGAGAACCTATCCCTCGGGGATGCGCATCCAGTCGTCAAACCTGGATCCACCCGTCTTTGTAAGTAATTTCTATTCTTATAGCCTCATCCCACTCTCTCTCTTCCTGGAATAATAGACGTTATATGATGATAGATCTTACAGTTAGAGACGGAGCTAATAAGTATGCCGGGATATAGTGGCGCAAGGGCATTCAAATCGTCGCGCTCAATTGGCAAAAGTGGGATGAAGGCATGATGCTTAACGAGGGCATGTTCGCAGGCACAGGTGGCTACGTGCTTAAACCGTTAGGGTACAGAGGGGGCAAATCTCCCAGCGAGCTTGAGAGCAGCACCGAAAGGGCTCCCCCAGTACCAGAACAAGTGATCTTCCACGGCACTCTCACCCTGAAGATTACAGTGTATGCCGCGCAAAACTTACCGCTCCCGCGCAAAGATGACAAAGAGAAGAGTTTCAGACCTTACGTCAAAGTTGAGCTACATACCGCGCCGCCACACCACCTCCTAGGACAAAAGCATGAGGACGGACACGCTAAGGAAGGCGAGTATAAGGCGCGCACGCATACCCAGAAGGGCTTGAACCCGGACTTCAAAGGCGAGACTCTTGCGTTCGAGCGCGTGGCCGGCGTCGTCCCTGAACTCACGTTCGTGCGCTTCCTCGTCAAAGACGACGAGATCGGACGCGACGACCTCGCCGCGTGGGCAGCCATCCGGCTCGACAGGCTGCGCTCTGGCTACCGCTTCGTGCATCTGCTTACCGCCAAGGGCGCTGTGAGTCCTGGCGCTATACTCGTCAAGGTAGAGAAGACACTAGAATAGGAGGAATACATCAAGTAGAGATATGATGAGAACGCGAGGAGAATTGTCAGTTTTGTGAGCCTTATTTGGACGACAACGAGCTTTCATCCGCTTAGCTGGGGCATTGGGGGTAAAATGCATTATATGGTATGTAAGTAGATAGCGGTGTTTTAGCGTTGTGGACTATTCAGCTACTGCGCACGGGAACGAACGGATTATGAAGCTTAGCTTTTAGGAATGATAGACTAACATGTAGTTGACTCATTTACACGTAATCTTGGTGGTCGTTCAATTAAGAGACATGCTGGTCTGGTCCCGAAGTGAGGATTCGGCTCCGGCGCGTCCCTTCGGTTCCGGCTGAGCTAATTCGACTATCCAGCGCGGGCTAGTCTTATTACCGTGTGCGCATCTCTCTCGGACAACTCGGACAATTCATCCACCCCGCTATTCACCCCGCCCTGAAATTTCGAAGTCATGCTTTGACTTTGTGACATGATCTTGTCGTTCGGATAGGCCGATTTGTCAAAATGAGATGTGTTTTGGGCATACACATGGGCTAGGTATGACTCGGTGGCTAGGCTCCAGCTTTTTCGATGAGTCGAGAAGTATCGATGGGGTGATTAACGTAGGTAACCTTGGTGATGGGTTTTGACAATGTTTGTTATGGTAGATATAAAACGAGGGATATCTCTGAATTGATGGCTCGGTTGATATTGGTGTAAAGCACAGTGCTTGGATATATATATTTCTATAACATCCTGTAGAAGTATCCGTTATTCTTTGTTTGAATTGATTTGTCTTGTACCCCTCATTCTTTTCCTGAGCATACATTACATTGCATCACGACGCAGTAGTGTGCATTCATTTCATTCACCCATCTTATCTCACTTAACTCACCATCACCTCATCCTCAATCAAAACAATGTCCGCTCCGGCCCCCATCGCCATCATCGGCGGCGGCCCCTGCGGCCTCACATTCGCGCGGCTCCTCTCGCGCGCAGGAATAAACTATGTCGTCTTCGAACGAGACGATTCCCCCGAGCCCCAGGACCACCACTCCGGCGGGACCCTAGACCTGCACACGACCACGGGCATCGCCGCCCTCGACGCCGCAGGTCTACGCGCGGAATTCGAGAACTTCGCGCGCTACGAGGCTGCTGTGTTCACGGTCCAGGATGCGCAGGGCGGGAACCGGTATAGAGCCGATGCGGAGGGAGACGAAGAGCAGAGGCCCGAGATCGATCGGGTGCAGCTTAGGAAGATTCTGCTGGATTCGGTGCCGGCGGAGCGAGTCAAGTGGGGGAAGACGTTGGAGAGCATTTCGCGTGGTGAGGGGGGTGGAAAGGGGGCGAAGCGGTGGGTGTTGAAGTTCAAGGATGGGAGCGAGGAGTCTGGGTTTCGGATGGTTGTTGGTTGCGACGGGGCTTCGAGTGCTGTGCGCCCGTTGGTATGTCTTTCTTCATCCTTTCCTTCTAGATTAATATTCTATCTATCTATCTATCTAAAGGGAAAGTTATTAACATTTTTCCAGATCACCCCCGCCAAGCCCCAATACTCAGGCAAAACATACATCGAAGGCCGCATCTCGCCCTCCAACCCACAATACGTCGCGGCCCAGGACTTAGTCGGCCCAGGCAACTCCGCCGCCATGGGCGCCGGCCGCGCGCTCCTCCTGCAGCAGATGTCCGACCGCTCGTACCGCGCGTACATCGGCATCGAAGAATCCGACACTTCGCTGACTCGACCCGGCGGAATCCTGGATTTCGCCACGGACATCGAGACCTCGAGAACGGCGCTGCTAGAGAGGTACTACGCAGACTGGGCGCCTCATCTCCGCGCATTCATCGAGGACGCAGAGGCGCCCTTCCGCGTGTGGCCATTGTACACCCTTGACGTCGAAGCCTTTGCGCCCGAGGCGCAGTGGACGCGGGCGCCTGGCGTCACGCTACTAGGCGATGCGGCGCATGTGACACTTCCGAACGGCGAGGGCGTGAATCTAGCCATGCTCGATGCGCTGAAGTTGTTCGAGGCGCTGACTGCTGAGCTCGGGGGAGACGACGGGGACGATGACGACGCTGTCGAGCGCGCGATCGTCGCGTATGAGGCTGATATGCGCACGCGCGCGCAGGCACATATCGAGGATGGAATCCAGATGTGCGGGATGATGTTCCAGGCTGATGGGGCTGAGAAGATGATTGCTTTCTTCAAGAGTTTCGAGGACGCGGCGAAGGCGCAAGCGAGTTAAAGTCTTGTCCTTTGGCTTTTGAGTGTTGTGTTTTGCATTGGGTTTGTAGATACCTGGTAGATAGATACCCTCCCTGCTCTGTAATTGGAGAAATTTTGGTAATGTATAAAATAGGTAAGTAAGTATATAGTATTAGATAGCCTTGTATGAACGATTTATACCAGCTAGAAGCCCACAGTTTATGGCCCGACCAGTCTCTCGTATGCTTCTCTTCGCTACTATTAGCATGTCTGTGTAATATTCATGTTGAGGGAAGTAGTCAGGATTATGCTATCACCTTGTAGCTATGAGCACTTGGGTATATGATATGATGGTATCTCGAAGATTATGGCAATAGTCTAGCTAAAAGTATACTAGATCTAGTCTGTCTATCAATTGCTTCCTCATCAAGCTTAGTAGAGCTACTACATGTGTCATAAAGCAGAAAGATCAGGTGAGCCAGGGATAGTCTTCTCTCCAGCTGAGATGTGATGTCCTAATTCCTCCTCTGGATGGGTGTGATTATCGGTAGTAGAAATCAATCCAAACGTCCCCCACGAGGAGCCATCGATATTGGCGATGGCCGTGTCATATGCTATGCGCCGAGTTGCATAAGCTCGATCGGATATGGTTGAGGCCTGCGAATCACCCTGCAGGTCTGGGTAATCGGAGTCAAGATCGTCTGTAACTTGGTCAGATGAGGCAAATCCATATTCCTGTCGTGTTTCCACTGGATTCGGTGTTGATAAACTGGATATGGATGTGGCGGCGTTGGATGCATGCAAATCTTCCACCGGATGCTGCCCCACGGGGCTTAATGCAGGTAGATTGGAACTGGAAGTTTGCTGAGAACCATCGTCGCGTTCTGTATCTTGTTGTAATACAGCTAGTTCTTTGGCCCTGCGATCAAGGATCCCATCGTATTCGAATGTATCGCCGGAACAACAGGCGCCAAATAGATTAGCAATTGACCAACCCTTCTGTAGCCATAGGTCGGCATCGAAAGTACAGGGCGTGATATCCCGCGCTTTGAATACACGGGTGAACTCTCGAAGCTCAGGTAGGGATGAATGCCGCGCGTACGGAAAACGAATCACGTTAGGGAGCGTCTGGGTGACACTGGTCTCGTCTCTCTCCTTAGTCGGGTTGCGGATTGCTTCAAGCTTGCAGAGTAACGACTTTACTAACTGAGTAACAGGATCTTCTGCTGTCCCATCGAGATCGGCGAGTAAGCTTATATCCCGACCACTGCTCAGGGTTTTCTTAAGCATGTCCATGGATGCGTGTAGTTCTGCGGGTAACCTATGATTGACAGACATCCTAATATTGGTGAGGGCCCAGTCTTGCAATGCTTCCAGTCGGGACTTACAATTGCAAGATCTCTAAGATGTCTTCTGGCGTTAAGACTGAAGCTTGTGCGAGGTCCTCGCCACCGCCACCGATGCCGACTTCCATTACATCTCGCCCATCCTTAAGGTGCGTGACAATTGGGCGGATCCAGACGATTGGCTTAGTATCCATCACACTACAACCCATACCCTTCTCGCAACTGTGAATTCTAACATTCTCATCGCGTGTCAAACATCCCTCGTGTAAGCTGTTCCCACATGTAAATCCGACGAGAGCGGGTGCTTCTTTAGCCAGATGCGTTTGAATAGCCCACCGGTTATCTTTCGGCTTTGTGACTAACGATTCGAAAACTCGCATCTTGTAGTTGTCGACATGGATCTAGCTTCAGGTTAGGTAATGTCTACATTCAACAAAGAGTATCATACCTTTGAGTTTAGTGCTTTGGATAAAGCGACCCAGACCTCTTCGTAACTACGGGCGAGTCAGGTTAGCTGTGTTGCGGAAAATCGGAATCCTTACCCATAGGTCCATGCTTGGAAGTGGAAGATGGTATCCGCCGGATATTTCCGTAGCTTCTCTAGGAGTTCTTGCAAACCTTCTGCTTTGGGTTGCAGGGTGTAGTCGTCTAGAACCGAGGTGTCTAAGTAAATCCGATCAAGTATCTCCATCCCAGACGAGTACTCAATCATGTTCGGATTTTGCGTGATGGCGGTGATGAGCCGTGGTTCACATCTGATGTCTCCTGTGTACAGCACAGCTTTATCCCCACCTTCGAATACTATTGATGAGCGTGAGTTGGAATCATATTCTTAGGTAAATAACGGCTCACTTACGGAACATCACAGCTCCCACGCAGTGATTAGCGTCTAGGAGTGTGACCTGTATGGTGTAACCCGGGAGAAGTTCTATGCTGATTGGCGTGTCAAGTGGAAGGGGTTTCAGCTTCTTCTCGAGATGTTTATAGGTCTGTTGCCGAGGATCCTCCAGTATGCCCCTGGCGTAATTTAAGCGGACAGATTTCTTCTCTAGTCGAAGCAGAAGTTCCTTAGTCGCTGCTGAGCAGTATATACTTCAAGGGATTAGCTTAAAGCATACATGCGAGGAGCCAGCGACGATCATTGCTCACTCACAAGCACCCATCAAAAGTCTCAAGTCCAGCGAGATGGTCGCTGTGAATGTGACTGAGGAAACAAGCTAGAGGGGGGGTGAAACCGGCCTGTTGCCGAAAGAAATCAACTATTTTGAGAGTCTTGTTAGCCGAAAGTGTCCAGGTTCTTCATGTCGCCCACTTACCTCTTATTCCGGGAAATTCGGATACGATGCCCTTGAATGTCGACATTGTGAAGGCATTCCAGCGCAGTGGTGGTGATCGCCCCTCTGAAACGCTAGCACTGAAATCCCGCAATTAGACAGCGCAAGAAGGCACATTATCGTGTCAGTATATCATCGTCGGCTTGCCAGTAAATATAGAAGATATCGATATGCCTCGCCCGCAGTTCGCGCGAATAGCAAGTTACTAGAATTATTGATGATGATGATGATGATGAAAGAGGCGGTTGAATTTTGGCTCTCACTCAAGGCAACAACGCTGGAGTGATGGCGCTGAACCAACTCATTAGCACCTAACCCCTACAAATAGTGCGCTATAGGCCACCATAGTGGGCAGGCACCTCACTAAATCGCCAGGCAACAACTCCCGCTTCACGACTTCATCTTTTCGTCAAGCCGACAATCAAGGAATCATATTTATCAAAGAGGACATAGAGACTCGTTACGTAAGTACTCCCTAGGAGTTGAGAGGCCATCGGTTATCCTGTTTTCTTCATTTCCTCGAGCCATAGCCCGCATATAACTCGTAAGGAGCAAGTACTACTGCATTGCTACTGCATTGCTCGCCGCGCCTGCCTTGATTGTCTTGGTACTGGGAGAGCTGCTGCTCAAATAGATTCAGCATAAAATTGCACGCTGCATCTCGAAGACGTCAGCATCTGCTACTTTCTTGTCCACGAGGGAACTATAAAGGCTGAGATACATTCACTTGCCCTTCAAGATGCCGAATACTGTCTTCCTCTATCTACTGCGTTAAAATCCCCCCCAATAGACACCTACCTGTACGACGTATTGGAATCTCCATCAGTGCGTGGAATAAGATAGTCGCACCTCGCAGAGCCGGTTAATTCTACAATATAAATTGATCTCCTAATCCAGATGTCTGATTCCCTGCATCGCATCCATTTTCCTTTTCGAAATCCCGTTGTAATACCTTGGGAGCGCGGTTTGGAGATGCTGCATCAAAATTTCACACGCGTCATCGATTCAATCGGCGCTTGCCTGGGCTTCACGGCAGCAAACCCCATCGACTCAGAAACTCCCGATATCCCAGCCGAGCCGCGCGCGGATTCGAGTCTCACAAGATGCTTAGAAGCTCTCTTCCTTAGCGCTGACCCATATGCCTACCTGTATCGAAGCAACGGAAACAACCCGACTTCATCCAAGGCCTTGAACAAGAGACAGCCGGTGTTGAAACCTACCAAGGGCACTGGAGGTGTTCGGGACCCTTCTCTGGTCCAAGGAGGTGGCGATGAGGCAGGCAAGAAATGGTAATTACATCGTGCACACTGATTTAAATATCGGCAGGGTACACTGAGCAATACTCTTGTCAACTGGCGCACCGATATGGCTGACAGTCTAGTAGACAAATTGAGATGCCGCACAACGGACCGGAAGCAGAGGGATTTTCGTGTGGGAGAGCGCGAATCGGGTGAGTTTCAACAATGAGCGCCTGGTTATCGTAGAAGATGGAACGGTAGGCATGGTTTGGGACCCAAGAAGAGGTATTAAGTTCATGAGCCAAGTCCTTTTTGATCAAGACGCATTGACAAGAATAGGCCGTTATTTTGTTTACTGGGCTTCCTGGTTTGTAGGTTGATGATCATAAGATGAACCTAACAAGATGTTCTGGTTCCCTTCCACGCATGGCTTATGCTAGCACCTGCTTACGGTCTAGCATGCATATACTTACTATCTCTCCTCTTCAATGTTGCTATAGCTGCAACCGGTTGTAGTCTTAGTATAATGCTCTGTCTTGTAGGCTGCAGCCAATGATTGACTGCATCAGCCACGGATTCATCTTCAAGCCATAGGTATCAGCCACGCTAACCGGGTTCTTCACTTATATCTCTATTGATGTTGATGTTGTCTTCTTGCTGTTCTTAGTACCAATTGACCTTTGAAATATTCGTACACATCTTCACAAATCCCCGCCCCCCCTCCGGCGGACCTTTCTTTCAAAGTGGAACAATGCAAAATGGCATCACCCCTTCACCGCCACCAATCATCACTTGAACGCGTTCTCAACTTCTCTTCACATTCACCACTTTTAGGAACAGAGTTGCGCGACCATGCTAGTCGTAGACTTTATAGTATTTGCGAGCACTTCGACACCGGGCTACCTCAGGGAGACTTTAGCCGTCCTCGGCTGATTCGCTATACCTATACTTATTCGCTTTCTCAGGAATCTGGCGATCACTTCTTACGCGCTTTCTTCCAAGCCGTCGATCTTCAGATTAGCAGGGATGAAGTCATTAGTTTCGAAGATATCCGCTCGAAATTATTCGACTTCGGAGACTACCTCTTCAATAACTTTTATCTGCCTGGTAAAGCTTTGCTATAGCCTAGAAGTTACGCTAGTTAATTGCTAACAATACCTTACAGTAAAAGCGTCTGCAAAGAAGACCCCACAGCCATCTCCAGCTTTGCATTCTGCCGTACAAGAAGCACAAGGTCGTAGCGGGCAACAGTCTGTTGGAACCGGACCTCGATTGTCCGTTCTTCGGAGAGACTGTCTTATCCGCGACCGTCATCGCTGCGTAATATCGCGAAGATTTGATCATGCCGAAGCATGGGAACGCCGTAATACTCCTGGCGGCGCTTTAGACGATGAAGGTAATCTGCTAGAGAATGATCCGGACGACCCGGAATTTCTGGAAGTGGCCCATATTCTACCATACTCTCTCTCAAAATTCAATCAGGGTAGCGAACTAGTATGCATATATCTTCCCTTTAGACGTTCTCCCTAATTAAACCTTCCTCCTAGGACCATTCTAAACAATCTGCATTCGCGATCCTAAACATGCTCGATGTTGGTGTTGCAGAACTAATTCAGGGCCCTGAAATTGACCGGCCACGCAACGCTATTACACTTACTACTCATTACCATCGATCATTTGGTGATTTTCAGGTCTACTTTGAACCTGTTTCAGGCAAAGATCATACCTATACGATCAAGACGTTTTATCCCAAATCCTTTGTCCGGCGAACAGCATTCCCTATTATCCGTGAGCTTTATCTGACTCCTGAGCGAATAATCGAGCCCCCGTCGCGTCGACTGCTAGCTATCCACTCCGCTATCGCACACATCCTACATCTATCAGGAGCCGGCGAGTATATCGATAAAATCTATCGTGATATGGAGGAATACGGAGTGCAGGCGGACGGGTCTACTCCACTAGGTCACTTCGTATCTCTTGCCATCAACGAGCAGAACTCTTCTGTTTATACCTAGAAAGTAAAACAGTAAGCGGCAGCTTATATGATAGTAATTGTAGCTGAGAGGCTGTAACTTAGGATAAAGCCACCTTTGCCATCGCCCTCTCGTTAGCAAAACCCCGGTCTGTTAACCTTAAGAAACACGATAGCCTCAGCCATCTAAGCTAAAGCCGTTCGAATACCCGGACAAAACTTGTGACCACAAGGCATTTGGAGGGAGACAGTATCTCATTCGACACTTCATGAGACGTATTACCTAGGCCCAGCCCAGTCATAATCTTGCGGTGGACTAATAACCTGAGCGGACTGTGAAATTAACAAACGCTGCGACGGCTGCGGTAAAGGTTTCATTTCGCGAACAAGTATGTATCACACAAAAACATGTGTCAATCGACCTATAAGACAACAGCGAAGAAGGGATTTGATGAAGTTCGTGGTCATGTAAAAGCTGCCCTCGACCGAGTCAATGATGCAAGAAAAACACGCAACGATGGGCCAAGCTCTGGGCAACAAAGCAAATGAAAACCAGACCTCTCCAAAGATCTGCCAGGCTTCCCATGCGAGCAAACTGATTCCTTGCTGGAACCTATTAAGCGCTACCGATGAAAGGTATATACTGCTGCGGGCATGTAGTGTTGGATGCTGGAACGACGCCCTGTAAGTAAGCCTGAACATGCCCGAAGTAACAGTTTGAGCCCCCGTTCTCGACTACTGTGTGCTGAATTCAAGAAAGAACCCCTCAGGTTAGCCTAGGATTCTATTGGAGATGGAGGTGAGGTTGAAGTTGAATGAACTTACACCAACAGCTTCTTGCAATAGGAGCGCCGATCCGGGGAATCGAGAATGCATCATTTGCGCTCTGATGAGAGAGAGTATGTTAGAAGAATGGCGGGTAGAAAAAAGGCTTGAACGAAACGTACGATATTAACGGTGATAGAGGGTCGATCGTATTGCTAGCGAATAGGATCGGGAAGGAAGTGGTTCTGTTTAGCCTGACGTTGGGGTCTGTGCATTAAATAGTTAGTTAGATATCACTGCCGTCGTAGTGTTGATTGACCTTTTCTAAGAATGAAACTCTGAAAATGAAAAGGGGCAAGGGTCAGAAATATAAAAATTGAAAAAAGGGTGCGTACCTGGAATCACCAGGCTATCAGGTAATTCCGGTCGAATTGCAGTGCACAGTATAGTCTCCACAAAGATGGGCCAGATATCGCCCACGTATTTACTTCTTGAAACCGATTCCTCGACGAAACTCTCCCATTCTTCAATACTACTGAGCCTATTTGTCCGATACGAATCGGCGCACCGAATGAGGGTACCGGCATCGTCTAGAAGACCTGTGGCAAAAGCATAATATGTGCCCGCGAGAGCAGATGCGTTCCCATTCTCAAGCTGGTGTAGAACATCCGCCATGAGAGGGAAGGACGCGATCGGGATGTAGAGACTGTTGATGAAGAGTTGTTTCAGGTCCGAATAGGTGACCAACGTCGGTAAGCCTCCGTTCTCAACTCCGCTGACTGGAATAGGCTGGTTCTGAAGCTGGGATATAATCGCGTCTAGTCTGCCCATGATCTCAGCTGCCGAGGGTCCCCAGAAGGAGCACGCTTCGGCGCCCGCGGAATGGCAAAAGCTAGCGAAACTTTCTATCCCCGCGTCCATTTGATCGACGCTGTCTCTCCAGTCGTTATGATAGTATTGCTCTACGTTGATGACGCCATCGAGCACCATCCTTCCGATCCGGTCGGGAAACATAGAAGCAAAGGTCGTGCCGACCGCAGTGCCGTAGCTGGCGCCGTAAGCCCACAGTTTCGCATCCGATGGGTCCTGACCGGCTGCCTCGGCCGCTGCTTCCACGAACGTGAGCAGATCATGGGCGACCGCCGGCGTGGTCACGTAATATCCAAAAGGCGAATCCTTCTCGACCGCAGCATTGCACCATTCTCCGTATATCATGCTTGAATAGTACTGTTCCTGAAGCGATGATGCTGATACATTGGTAATGCCTGTCCTGTGCAGTAGATTAAAAGCTGATCTTGCTTCCGTGTTTCCGGAAAAGCAGTCCAGTTTCGGACCGCTGTTATTCACGCCGCGAGGGTCGAAGGAGACGAAGTTGTACTGTTCTCCGAGGGCCGGCCCTAATCTGTCTCGGTACAAGGCGAGAAGATCGACGCCGGAACCACCTGGCCCGCCTATTGAAGTGTGAGTCAAGCCGCATTCATCGCACGTGAGTTTGTCTATAGAAAGCTGATTAAGATCTTACCAGGGATGATCACAATGTTTTGAGACTCGACAGTGGCGTTCTTGCCAGCTAGTTTCAGAAAAGCGATTGATGTTGTTCCAAGACTTGTGTTTGAATAATCTAGAGGAACTTCCAGTTTAGCACATGTGAAGCCGCCTAAACATGGTGTCCATGTTAAGTTGGTAGATGGCTCGATCTAGATAGTTCGTCAGTATTTTTGTGGTACATGGTTAAGCAGAGTTCAAGACTCACATTGTCAAATCCATCACCTTTGCTCGAGTTCTGCAAACAATTGGCTTTACATCCCAAGGCCGTGAGTAGAGTGAACGCTTTTGCAATTTGTTTCATCGTGATCTCTCTTACAAGTTTCTCGTTGACTTCCTCTTATGTTGCTTGCAAGAAACTGGCGATATGATCATTACAGTTGGCAGAGTTGGGATATTCGCGAACTACTTATACCAGCTCAGTTCTCCCGGAGACTTGTGAACTGCGTTTAATGATTTCAATTGTATAGTTCCCCATGAGTTTTCGATCTTCGAATTCGACTTGAAGCCCTATTGCGCCACTGTCTCAGTTCTCCACTTGTACGAACCAGCCAATCAACATCTATCTTGATACGTAGAAATGGACCGATACCAGGCTGTATGCTGAGTGGCTTAGCTTAAGCTATCCTTTGTTCCCAGGCTCCCGTTTTCATACCCGGTTACTTGAATTGCCTTACTTGTTTCAATTTCGATGGCTTATAAACGGATCGAGAGGAAGATTTCATAAAGCACTAACGTGTATTAGCCCTATACTGGTCAACTTTCAGCTCCCCACTGATTTATACGAACCAATCATCGCCTATGCTACCTCGTATCAGTTGTTAAGAACGGTAAAATTAATCATTAGTTTAGCTTAAAGTATTTGATTGATATGATTGTTTATATCGTATGACTTCCTTGTCTTTTTCATGCTCATTCAAATGCCTGTTTCAATTGCGCTACGAGCAAAGAAAGGATTTAGTGATCCTACTAGCAAGTCAGCTTGACTACGGAATCCCTGACTATAATAAGGAATAGCTCCACTTGTACGAACTGGCCAATCAGGATATATCATGATTCAACGTCTTGGCCAGAGTTTAGCCCAATTGGTCTATAGTATGTTTAAGGCTTTCGCTTACTTAGCCTGAGGCTTCGGTTTTCCGTGCTATCTGATCTCACCCAAGTATGACCATAGATGTCAGACAATGAACCCCTTGCCAGAATACGAACATGAGAAGTTGAGTGAATAAGCCTCCTGAAACCATCATCACCACCTATGATGCGCGTGTCAAGGCCACTGTCGCACGTAATGGGTGGCTTATAGGTCACAGAGGCCCCGGATTGTCGTCTGCCTAAGCTAGCGCGCTCACTTCAAAGCTTAGCTAACACTACCAACGTGATGGGCGAGGTGATGGACGACGACAATATCAAGGCGGCCAATCAAGCTTGGAGGAAAAAGCCTCGCAAGTTCGCTCCAAAGTCAAGACTAGGCTGTAAGACTTGCAAGTGAGTAGTCGTGAATCCGTCTACGCATTGCGCTCAATTGTATTCACTGACCCTCCTCGATGCACCTCTCAGGATAAGACGAGTAAAATGTGATCTCTCTCGGCCTTCGTGCATGAAATGCAAGTCCACAGGCCGCACTTGCGACGGCTACAGTGAAACACTCAATACTCATAAGGTCGAGGTTGCATCGAAGCATTACCTGACCGAGGATGTCACCCTGACTAGTGCATCTCATGAGCCCATACAATGGCCTGCAAAAAGGCTAGGCTTCACATTGTCGCATCTCAACCCCTTCATGATTCTACCAAACACAGAGCCCGCCCAGACTGAGGCGATGTATTTCTTCGAGTGTGTCTCAATCAGGCATCTAAACGAATACCGCCCCTGCACCTCATGGCGAAAGACTCTGATGTACTTTTCGCAAACCGTGCCAGCAGTGCGGTACGCCGCTATAGCCCTGGCATTGGTCCAACGAAATCATGTCTCGAGCAATCATATGCGTCACCCGGATAAGCCTGCCTTGCGTTACTATAATCGCGCGATCCAACTCCTTCTAAACCAGGAAAATGCCAGCAATAGTACTGAAGTAACAGCCATCACCCTCCTGGTGTGTTATTTGTTTACCTGCTTCGATCATCTAGCGGGCAACTACGTGCAAGCAGTGAAGCATCTGCGCGGCGGCGTCGAGCTCTCGCGGAATATCGACCAGTGTATACCGGACAAGAATGACATATATAACGATACCCAACCCTCGGGTGTTCGTGCGCTCATTTGCCAGGTCACGGCGCAGATTCGGCGTCTCGACATGCAGGCCGTCACGTTCTTAACGGACTGGACGCCCGCAGATATCCAAGAGACAATTATGTCACATCACTTACCCTCTACTAGCGCCTTTCGCTCACTCGAAGAAGCGGCTGACCACCTCCAGGTCCTCATCGCTCGGGTAATGAGGCTGCGGCATGGAGAGCACCAGATATACCCGATGGGTGCGATCGAGCATTTCCCTTCGTCGCTCAAGGGTGTTATTCTCGCGCAGTTGGAGGGGTGGTACTCGCTCTTCGAGAACACACTGCAGCAAGGGCTCTATAATGAGCCGGATCCGGCAATGCGCTCGCTCATAACACTGCTTCGGTTGCAACATAATACTATATGGACCTTCCTTAGTAGTTCCGGACCACGCAGGGAAATGGAATACGACGCCTACCTGCCGCAGTTCCAGCAATGCCTGGAGATGGCAAGCGACGTAGCGGCGGCCCACGAGCGATACGCAGGGTCGCTGAAGCCGACATTTACCCCTGAGATCGGAATCGTTCCCGTGCTGTACATCATCGGGGCTAAATGCCGGCACCCATCGGTCCGACGCAAGGCTTTGGAGATCTTGCAACGACAGCCCATACGAGAGGCTGTCTGGGATAGTATCTGTGTGGCTAGGGTGGTTGAGAGGATCATCGAGCTTGAAGAGGGCGGGTGCGGAGAGACGGGGATAATAGAGAGCATGGACGATATTCCTGTGTGGCAGAGGATCGAAACTTTGTCGTTTATTCATCTCCCGAGTGAGGCAAGGTTGGACGTTACGTATACGTTCTGCACGAGGGAGGAGAAGCATACTGAGTTTTTCATGTTATGATAGGTAGGGAGTAGAGTCGAGTTAATATGCATCTTGAGTGTGACGTAATATAGAAAATAGTGAACTCTCGGAAAGCCAGCTTCTAGAAGGACGAGGTTGGATCTGTAGTAAGTCCCACACTGGATCTGCAGTATACAGGTGGTAGCAGTCCGACTTCAGCTGGCTGCGACATTTGTACACTATATACTTCGAAAACCCCACCAAAATCAGGGGTTATAAGGTATAAGGTTATTATAGGTTGCTAACCAATGCCTTTTTTCAACTATATATTTTAAAAGTATAACGTTAATAAAATTGCTAAGTTTTACGTTTCTTTAAGTTTAAAAATCTATAATTAAATAACTTTATATATAAATTATATATAAATTAATTATAATTAAAATTATAGCTTTATTTTTAAATTAATTACTTATTTAAGTTTTTATTTCTATAGTACCTAGATTTAAAATATTATTAATATTAAATTTTTAGCTTATTTTAAATTATTATAATAATTTTTAATTATATTAACTTTATTTTATTATTTATATTAATAATTATAATAACTTTAATAGCATTATTATTAATTAAAGTTATTTTTATAAAGGAGTTATTATTAATATTATTATTCCTTTAATATTTTTTAACTTAAGCTTATATTTTTTATTAATAATTCCTTTCCTTTATTTTTATTATAATTATTTATATAATTTTTAATTTAATTATTCCCTTTTTAATAATTAAAAGTAATTTAAATTAATATTTAATAGTTATAAAGCTTTTTATTAATATAAATATATAATAGGTAAATTAAAGGTATTTTAAAAGGTATATATTATTAAATAAATGTTATACTATAATATTTTAAAGCTTTTAGAATATATATACTTTATATATATTATATACCCTTTTTATATATATTTTAAAGGAAATTCTTCCCTTTTTTAAGCTTTAATTTTATTAAATACCTATTATAAAACTAAAGAGATTTATAATATTATATTTAATCTTTAAGATTTAACTTACCTATAATAATTTTAAAACTTCCCTTTAAGGTTACCTATAATATTATTAGTTATAATATATTTATATATAAATAAATAATTAAAGCTAATGTTTTTTTAAAAAATTTAAATTAAGGAAAGTTTTTAATAATAGTTTAAGGATAAAGTTAATATAATTTATTTTTAAAAAAATAATAAATTTAAAATTAACTATTAAAATCTTTTAATAATTTTAATTTAATAAATAAAGTTAACGTTTAATTATTATAATAAATAAATATTTAACTTTTAATTAAAATTATAAAGTTAAAAAAATAACTTCCTAAAGAAAAAAAGGTTCTTTAAAGTTTAAAGGTAACTTATACCCCTTTTAAATTATATTTAAATAAAAAAGAAAAAAATTTAAAAATATTAAATTTAAATAAGTTAAAGTATTATTTTAACTTTAATAATTTATAAACCTTTAATAATTAATAATACTATTAGGATTAAAAAAATAGTAATTTTAATAATAATAACCCTTTATTATTTAACTTTAATATAAAGTATAATTAAAATAGTTATATATATTAATTATATTTAAATTATATATATTATTATAAATGTTATTTTTTTAAGGAAGTTAATTTAAATTAGCTTTTTAAGTTTAATTATAATCCTTTTAATATAAAATTTACCTATTTAAAATAATTAAAATAAATAAAGAAATTAAAAATCATATTCTATAAAGCTAATTATAAATTTAAAACTAATACCCTTAAAATTTTTTATATATATAATAAAATAAATAAGAATTATAAAAATATATATTAAATTATAAAAAGAAAGTTTAAATATATAAAAAGGAAGTAAATAAAGTCTAATTAAGATATATTTTTAAATTAAATTAAAACTTTATTATATTAATTATCCTTCTTATAAGTTAATATTAATATATAATTTAAAAGGGCTATATAATATATTAATTAAAATTTAAAACTTTTTAATTAATATTTAATTAATATTAAAAGTTAAAATTTAAAACGAAGTAAGGGTAAAAAAGCTTTATTATATTATTAAAAATTAGGTAAACCCTTATAAAAGGAATTAATAAATTTTTATAACCCCTTATTAAAAATTAGGATTAAAATGGTTAATATAATATAATAATATTAAAAATTAATAAATAAGGATTAATAGGTTAATTATAAAAAAAAGAAGCTTAAATTAAAGAATACCTAAATTAATAATAGATTACTTATAAATATAAGTTAAAGTTAAAGTAATAGTTAAATTATTAATAATAATTATAAAAATAAATATAAAGGATATAATAGTAATAGCTATAATAGCAGTTTTAATTATAATTATATTAATAATTATAAAGGTAATAATAATAATAATAATTATTAAAGTAATAATAATAATTATAGCTATTAAAGAAATAATAATAATAATTATTATTAATATTTTTAAGGTTTTAATTATTAAAAAAACTATTAATTTAATAACTTTATTTTAAAAAGTTAATCCCTTTTTAAAGCTTTTTTAAAATATTTATAAAGTAGTAATAGAAATAAATTAAATTAAAAAAACTATAAAGGAATAATTTATTTTAATTATAATTAATTAAACTATATTACTTTAAATTATATTTAATTTAAATAAAACTAAAACTTTAATTATATAAGCTATATAATATAAAAATAAACTATTTAAAAAGTTTAAATAAATAAAAAGTAAAATAAAGTTAAAGATAAATAATAATTATTATATTATTTTTATATTCCCCTTTTATTAAAATGCTATAATTTTCCGGAATATAATAAATAATTAAGAAATAGATTAAAAGCTTAATACCTTTTAAATTAATAAAAGGTATTAAATTAAATTTATCTTTATATATATTTATTATATATTATTTTTATATCCTTTATATAATTTATATATTTAGTTTAAAAAAATTACCTTTATAAACTTATATTAATTTAAATTTTTATATTAAATATAATTATATTAACTTTACTTTTATATTTTATTATAAGTTAAAAAAGGTTTCTTTTTAAACCTTTTTATTATAATATATTATAAGCAATAATTTTTTATTATATAAGGCCTATTAGGTTATTTATAAATTAATTAATAATTATAATATTATTTATAAGTTTAAATATATAAATATAGCTATTAATTATAATTATTATTTAAAAGGTAGCCCTATTTTATTATTTTAAATTACTTTAAAGGATTAAGGAATTATATTAAATTTAAATATAAATTATTAGTTTTTTAGATTTAAAGCTTACTATTTTAAAATATTTACCCTATATTAATTTATAAAAGTTTATAAAAATAAATTATATTATTAAACAATTATTTAATTATTAAAATTAATTTAATTAAAAAAGTTAAAATTATATATATTTTATATAAGATTTAATAATATTTTA